AATAAAATTCTCGCCAATAGAATACAACAACACATCAGGAAAATCATCCACCCAGACCAAGTGGGATTCAACCCTGGTATGCAGGGATGGTTCAACATTCGCCAATCAATCAATGTGATTCACCACATTAACAGACTGCAGAAGAAAAAACCATATGATTATCTCAATTGATGCAGAGAAAGCATTCGATAAAATTCAACACCCTTTCATGATGAAAACTCTAAGCAAATTGGGTATAGAAGAAACATTCCTCAATATAATCAAAGCAATTTATGAAAAAAACCCACGGCCAGCATCCTATTGAATGGGGAAAAGTTGGAATCATTTCCACTGAGATCTGGCACCAGACAGGATGCCCACTCTCACCACTGCTATTTAACATAGTTCTGGAAGTTTTAGCCAGAGCCATCAGAAAGAAAAAGAAATTAAAGGAATACAAATCAAGAAGGAAGAAGTCAAACTATCCCTCTTTGCAGATGATATGATTCTTAGAGGATCCAAAGAACTCTACTAAGAGACTAAAAACCATCAATTATTTTTCATTTTATGTTTCTGTGTGGGAGCAAACTGTTGAAATATTTTCTTAATGTATGCTAAACTGATCTTCTGTATATAAAGAGAATTGAAATGAAAAAAAAAAACAGGTAATATTATATAATTTATTATATGTACTATATATATAATATATATATATATATTATGGAGATTACTTCAATAGCCAGAGTGTGGCCAGGTTGAAGCCAGGACCTTCTCCTCCAATGTGTGTGGCAGCAACCCAGGCACTTGGACCATCTTTCACTGCTTTTTCAATCCATTGGTAAGGAGCTGGATCAGAAATAATTATATATTTGTATATAAATAATAAATTTATATATAATAATTATATCTCATATATTTATAATAATTATATGTAATTCTATATTATATATAGAAATATATAATATAATATGATATATTATAATATATAATATAATATATTATATAAAGAACTATATAATATTATAATATACATATATATATATATAAATATATATATGATGTACCAAAATGTGGCATTCTCCATTTGGCAGAAGGGACAGGCTCCAATATCTACTGTCTATGTCTGTATGTCAGTATAATGCAGGAGGCAACCCCTCTACCAAATAAGAAAAGCTATTTCAGTTCAGCTGGACATCATTCTGCTGACTGTTGACCTTATTACTGTTAGTCTGGATGCTTTCATTGGTTGCAATCCAGGACCCAATTTTCCCATAGATATAAACATCATCAAACATGAAAATTTGGTAAGAAAAGCTTAAACTGAGAGTTAATGATTAATAACTATTTAAAAAAATTCTCAGAACCCATCTAATCCAAACCTTGGACAATTGGAAGCTGTTGTACTTGGCCCACCCATAAATGAAATGGATTCTAAATCCTTTAATTGCAAGGAGAGTATCATAGACATTAATGCTCCAAACGGATCCAGTTCCCTGCTAACGTGTCTGGAAAAGCGGCACAGGATGACTCAAATATTGGGGCTCCTGCACCCATGTGAGAGACCTGGAAGAAGCCCCTGGCTCCTGATATCAGTCTGGCCTAGCCACAGTCATTGCAGCCATTTGAGGAGTGAACAAACCAGGAGGAAGATCAATCTCTCCCACTCTCTCTTTCTAGTGCTGCCTTTCAAGTTCTTAAATAGATCTTTTAGAAAGTAGATCACTTCAATAAATTTGCCATTGCTCAGTCATGATGACTTTTACTACCTTAAGTTCTTTTTCAAAGATTTATTTATTGGAAAGGCAGAAAGAGGAGCTGGTGGTTGTGGTGAAGTGGACAAAGCTGCTATCTATTACATTGGCATCCTGTATGTGCACCAGTTCAAGCACCAACTATTCCATTTCTGATCCAGCTCCTTATTAATGGACTGAAAAAGCAGTGAAAGATGGTCCAAGTGCTGGGATGCTGCCACACACATCGGAGGAAAGCTCCTGGCTTCAACCTGGCCACACTCTGGCTATTGAAGTCATCTCAAAAATGAATTAGGTGGTAGAAGATTTCTGCCTCTCCCTCTCTCTGTAACTCTTTCAAATAAGTAATTAAATATTTTAATATGAAAAAAAAGGCAGAGAGACACAGAGACAAAGCAAGAAGGAAAGAGAAGCAGAGAGATCTCCAATCAGCTAGTTCATTTTCTATATGGCTACAACTGTGCAAGACCAGGTTCTCAAGTCCCCATTTAGGTTACAGTTCTCCAAATTAGATGACAGGAATGAAAGAATTTGAGCTATCATCCATTGCTTCCCAGGGATATTAATGTGAAACTGATTTGGAAGTGGAGTACCCAAAACTCAGATTAGCGCTGCAATATAGGATGTGGGCATCTGTTGTGATGGCTAACAAATTGGAAAACCTAGAGGAAAAATCAACAGATTCCTGGACATACACAATATACCAAAATTGAGTCATGAAGACACATAGAAAAGCTAAACAAATCAAAAACCAAGACAGAGATTGGATGAGTAATAAAGACCCACCCAACAAGGAAAAGTCCAGGATCAGACAGCCTCACTATTGAATTCTACAGGACTTTTAAAGAACTAATTCCAATTCTTCTCAAACTATTCAAAACAATTGAAAGAGAGACAATCCTCTCAAACTCCTTCTATTAATCCTGCATCACCTTAATTCTTAAACTAGAAAAAGATACAGTGGAGAAAGAGAACTATAGAAAAATATCGCTGATGGGGGCCAGTGCTGTGGCACACTGGGTTGATTCTCCACCTGTGGAGCCAGCATCCCATATGGGTGCCAGTTCTGGTCCCGGTTGCTTCTGTTCCAGTCCAGCTTTCTGCTCTGGACTGGGAGGGCAGTGGAGGATGGCCCAAGTGCCTGGGTCCCTGCACCCACTTGGGTGACCAGGGAGATGCTCCTAACTCTGGCTGCTGATTGGACCAGCACCACCTGTTGGGCTATATGGAGAATAAACAAGGAGATAAAATACTTATGTCTCTCTGCCTCTGCCTCTGCCTCTCCCTCTATGTAGCTCCACCATTCAAATAAATAATTCTTTTGAAAAAGTCAACAAACAATAAAGGCTGGTGGAGAGGTAGAGAAAAAGGTACCCTAACCTGCTGTTGGTGGGAATGAAGCTAGTACAGCCATTATGGAAGGTAGTATAAAAGTTCCTCAGAAATCTGAAAACAAACATACCATATGATCCTGCCATCTGACTCCTGGGAATTTATCCACATGAAATGAAATAGAATATGCATAGGCATGAGTTATCTGTACCCTCTTGTTTATTACAGCTCAATTCACAATAGCTAACATGGAATCAACCCAGATGTCCATCAGCTGGTGACTGGAAAAAGAATATGAGCTATATATACAGTGTAAAATACTATTCAGCCACAATTGAGAATGAAATCCTATCCTTTGTAACTAAATGGATGAACTGGAAACAATTATGCTTCATGAAAGAAGCCAGTCCCCAAAAGACAAATACCATATGTTTTCTCTGGCTGGTGGTAATTTATATATAGACAACAAAAAGTAGCATAGGAGTTAAATTGACATTTTGAGATTTGCAGTATTGTTCATAGCACTTTTCTGTACTCTTTGATAGAGTATACAACATATACTCATTGATATTTCTGCTACTACTTGCTGAATTCTTTATTTTGTAGAGGGTTAAAGCTTGTGATTCTAAAATAAAATCAAAGCATGCAGCTGTAAAAATTAAAAGAAAATAAAACAAGAAGGAGGGAGTTGGAAATATGAGACCAAGGGAAGATAGGGTAGGATGTTATCAGTTTGCTCTTCAATCTGTATATATAATTACATGAAATTTGTTCACTTAATATGCATTTAAAATATAAACTTAACACTAGAAGAAAAAGACCTGAGATCAATGTTTTCTGGATCACCACTAATAAAATTTAGTCTTCATTTATGTCTGACCATATTTAATTTCTTATTTATTTATTTTATAAGAAAATTAACATCACCATTCCTAACAAGTCCATCCTGCTTCATCCATATCTATCAGTTCCCACTCTGCTAATAATTTTTCATGAACTTAAATCCATATCATCTTAAAAAGATGCAATGCGGGGCTGGCGCTGTGGCATAGCAGATAAAGTTGCTGCCTGCAGTGCTGGCAAGGCATATGGGTGCCAGTTCAAGTCGTGGCTGCTCCACTTCTGAACCAGCTCTCTGCTATGGCCTGGAAAGCAGTAGAAGGTGGCCCAAGTCCTTGGGGCCTTGCACACATGTGAGAGACTCGGAAGAAGCTCCTGGCTTCGGATCGACACAGACCAGCCATTGCGGCCAACTGGGAGTAAACCAGCAGATGGAAGACCTCACTGTCTCTGTCTGTCTGTCTGTCTATCTCTCTCTCTCTCTCTACCTCTCCTCTATTTGTGCAACTCTTTCAAATAAATAAATCTTTAAGAAAAAAAACTGATTCATGTTATTGTTTATGTGTTTTAGAGGCTTTGCAGATGTTGATTACATGTGCCATGAAAACCCATTGAAATGCAAATCCTATAATAGGCAACTCCATGTTCACTAAACTGGTAAAATCCAGTGCATGTGTTGAGAAAAACACACTAGCAATAAATTTCAAAATGCTGTTAAATATTATAAGTGGCTGTCAAAGAGCTAGAAATCTGACAGTGACTCATTATGTCATTTATTTAGTACATAATGCTGAGAAAATCAGAAGTATTTGTTAAAACTTCTGCTAAAATGCACTAGATTTATAATTTTTAAATGCATCTTTCCTATATGTAATGCAGTCCTGTGCTTTCCTAGGCCATTAGCAAAAGCTGGATTGGAAGTGCAGAAGCAGGGACTCAAACTGGTGCCCATGTGGGATGATGCTGGTGCTGCAGGTGGATGCTTACTCTACTATGCCACAGAGTGGGCCCAGTGAAAGGTTTTAGGAAGACATCTTTCATGTAGACTAGGCTGCAATATTGCAAGGTAAGGTTTAGCTTTTATTCCCACACATCAGTATTCATCTTTTAGAAACTATAAATACTGAATATCATACATATATACATAAATATAGGTAACTGCAGATTTTGTTGTCATTCTTTCTAATTCTCTTTTTAATGCCTGCTAATAGGCCATCTTATGGATTATTATATTGATGTTACCTGTACACAACCATCAGGCATTTCCACTGTTGAATGTGTTTATGTGTACAGGCAGTTTTGTTTGTGTATACATGAATGCACATTTGATGGAGATAGCACTGACAGTAATACTGTGAGAAATCCTAACGCTGATTTCATACTTTCTGTCCTCCGCAGAGATGGCTGTCATTGAAGTAGACCACAGGGCCCCCTTTTGCTGTTATGGACTGAAATGTGCCTCCCTAAAACTCAAACACTGAAGTGCTAACCACCAACATGACTCTACCTGAAGAAAGTGCTTTTAAGCAGATCAAATGATAGATGTGTCTGCCTCATCGGAGAAAGTCTTCTGGAAAAATGAGCCTATTAGGACCTTGATCTGATATTTTCAACCTCACAACTCTGAGAAGTAAAATTCCATGATTTAAATCATATTCTCTGTGGTATTTTCTTAGCAAATTAATATATCCTCATTTCTGCCAGCATTTTCTGCTGTCATCTAGAAGGTCCTTGTGATTAGCAGACACATATAGAAACTAAAAACTATGATTTTAGATTACCAAGTATCTACTAACACAAAAAAGATATCCCAGAAGCAACCTACTACCATCCTCCAGGACCCAGAAAAAAACAGGAATGAGTCAAGTTGCAGGGCAGTAGAAAAAAGTGAATAATGAAAGATCACAGCAGAAATAAATAAGGAAGGGTTTGGTGCTGTGGCGTAGTGGGTTAAAGCCTTGACCTGCTGTGCATGCATCCCATATATTGCTGCTAGGAGACCAGGTGCTCCACTTCCAATCCAGCTCCCTACTAATGCACCTGGGAAATCGGTGGAAGATGGCCCATGTTCTTGGGTGCTGGCACCCACATGAGAGACTTGGAAGAAGCATCTGGCCTTTCAAATAAATACATAAATCTTAAAAAAATAGAAGCAGTGTTAGCACTGTTGGAAAAACAGACACATAGTTCAATGGAAAAGAATAGGCAGCTGAAATAAACTGACTTTTCTACAGGCAACTCCTATTTAACAAAGGAAATAAAACAAACAGGAGAAAGAAGAATCCCTTTAGCAAATGGTTTAAAGGAAAGTGATTATCCATATGTAGAAGCCTGAAAATATGCCCCAACACCTCATACACTATGTAAAAGCAACTCAAGGTGAATTAAAAGTCTAAATATAAAACCAAAAACTAAGTAAACATATGAGAAACTGTAAAACATTAGCATAGACAACAGTTCTGGGTAAGATTCCAAAAGCGCAAGTAACAAAAATAAAATATACAAATTTGAGCATATCAAATTAAGATACATCTTCACAACAAAGTAATCAACAGAGTGAAGATACAATGGGCAGAATGGCAGAAAACACTGAAAACTCTGAATATGACAAACGATTGATAGCCAGAACATACATATATAGAACTGGAAAAACTCCAAACAAGAAGCAAAATGTACAGTTAAGAAATGGGCAATGATCAGAATAGATGTTTCTCAGAAGAAGAAATCTAAATGGTCAAGACATATATGAACATGCCCAATATCACTAGCCATTAGGGAAATATAAACCAAAACCAATAGCAGACTCCATCTGTGGGAGAAGACAATGCTTGGGTTTTCATTTGTGCAACAAGTGGGTTTAGAGGACCCTGTTCACCATTAGAGGGCAGAGTCTACATGGAAGTAAGGAAACCTTAATGTTTTCCTAATGGGCTTGTTAAATTCTTGACCAGTGCCTATTACCTTTGCCACATACTTTCCAGTCTCACTACTTTCCTTCTTCTTCCTCTTCTCTGTGGCTTGCAAAACCAGTATACCTTCTATATACTGAGGATACTTTTGTTTTGTTTTATTCCTTCTGTCTCATGATGTTCCTCTAAGAAATCACAACCCTCAAAGTATTCATTCATTTATGCAGTCTGCAGTTTTCATGGGCTACTACATGGCAAAGTACTAGGTTAAAGGAAAGGTATAGGTCAGGAACTGAGCAAAGTTCACAATGATGAAGCCATTGGGGAAATGAACCTGATGCAAGACCTCTCTCTCTCTCTCTCTCTCTCTCTGCCTCTCCTTCTCTCTCTGTGTAACTCTGATTTTCAAATAAATAAATAAATCTTTAAAAACTAACTAAATAAATATAGTAATAACCTGGTGGCAATACCTTTCTATCAGAACATGTGAAGCATTCAAACACAGTTTGTCCCAGAAAGTCAGCCATAGTTTTCAAGGACACATCTTCTACTCCACTTGCGGACATCTCTGTCGGGGGAAAGGGACACTTATTTCTTCCCCTCTTCTTTCTTACCACTCTCACAGTTATAACTTCTATAGATGCTTCCACAGACCAGTCTCTATGAAATTGTAGAACTAATATCCTCCCATGTCAAAAATGTCATGGGTTTAAACACAGAACCCAAAATAAGACAAGTAACTGGCCTTCTTAATTACACAGTGTGGAATGTAAGATTCTCAGTGGATCAGTGGGTAACTGTAAAGTACTGGGCAGAGGAAAACTGTTACTTATCTGTATTTATGATGCTGTAATTCTCCACTTTATGCAAACTCAGATTAAAAGAGCTCCAGTTAGTGGGCAGCACTGTTGCATAGTGGGTAAACCTACTGCCTGCAGTGTCAGCATCCCATATGGGTGCCGGTTGGGATCCTGGCTGCTGCACTTCCCATCCAGCTCTCTGCTGTGGCCTGGGAAAACAGTTGAAGATGGCCCAAATCCCCTATCTCCTGCACCCACCTATGAGACCTGGAAAAAGCTCCTGGCTCCTGGTTTTGGATCCAAACAGCTCCAGCCATCTATCTCTGCTTCTGCCACTCTGTAATTCTGCCTTTCAAATAAATAAATAATTATTTTAAAAAACAGCTTCATCCCAGAAGAAGCTCCTGGCTACTGGCTTCAGACTGCCACAGCTCCAGCTGTTGCTGCCAATTGGGGAGTGAACCATCGGATGGAAGACCTCTCTCTCTCTCTCTCTCTCTCCTCCCTGTGTAACTCTTTCAAATGAATAAATAAATCTTTAAAAAAGTAGCTCCAGTTATTGACAACACAGTAGACTTGCATTGATTTTAGTTCCCTTCTCACTTTGCAAAGGGATCAGTGGCAGGTAAAAACAGTTGACAGCCTTGCTAACAGGAGAAGAAATAGTTGAAGACAGAAAATGAAAAGCAGCCAAATAAATCATCAAAGAAAGAGAAGTGGACCCCATCCAACACAAACCTTTAAAAGTGGATGCTCACAATTAACGAGTGAAACAGCTGCCCACTGAAATCTTTTCTAGGGAGGGAAGATGTCCTAAGTTCTGCTTCTGTAAACTCCAGTCATAAATCTGTCCTAATAAATCTGTCCCTGGCATCTCTTTTACAAGCATACTGGACCCACTGACCATTGGAAATGTGGTCCTAAGTCATGTAGGCTGCCATTTAAACTCACCAATGCTGTAACAGCTAAGAAACTTGAATTTGATGCTCAATTCTCAGGAAATCATTCCAGTTGAGCCTAGGGCCATTAATATAAACTCCTTGGATTCTCCACTGTCTCTGTGCCTGTTTGAAAGAAGGGAGTTTTCCCACCCCAGGTTTCTGTAACAGCTTCAAATTCCAGATTGGAAAAATCTGATAATTAATACTTGAGAGGGATCAATGCACAAAGCAGCTATTCACACTTCACACTGCTCCCTCTGGGAAAAATCTGAACACTCAGGGCCACACCCGGCAGGTGTGTCCGCGGGGACCCCACCAGGAAGATGAGGTGCAGGATGAGAGCAGTGGGGCAGATCCTAGTCAGATCCTCCTTCCCACCCCTCTGCTGCCCCAGGCTCCCTGCTGAAGGCCATCCAGCCCCACCCTGCAGGAACCAGCCCAGGAAACATCAAGAGACCTGGCCAGACTGCATTCTGAGACCACCCACAGTGGGAACCCAGCTTATTTAACTGTGGAGAGCGGGAGTCTTTCCGCCTTCCTTCCCTGCATGTGCAGGTTCCCAGAACGGTGCCCTCTCTCTCCTGTAACCACTAAATAAAGTACATTAAGGACAGTTTGGGTGAGGTTCTGCAAGGGAGAGTCTGGGTGCTGGGAGCCTGGGAAGCAGAGGTGGGAGACAGAGCAGCCCGGGTCCCAGCCCTGACCTCAGGGGAAACTGCCATGATCTCTGGCGCCCAGGCACCCACCCTTCTCCCACACACATCTCCGCCCCTTCCTGCATGCCAAACCTGCAGCAGAAAGTCCTGGGAGCAGGTACCCTTTCTTCCGGACACACGGGGAGCGAAGTGGGGAGTGCAGGGAAGAGAGTCCCTGGCACGTAGGACCCACAGGCGGAGGATGAAGAGGGAAGAAGCAGCAGGAGGCAGGCTTGGGGTGAGCACTCGGAAACTGCCTGGGATCCCGTGTGCAGAGCAGGAGATGCAGTAAATGCCAGAGAAGGAGCAGCACAGCCCCCAGGGCTGACCCTGAGCAGGGAATGAACTCACTCTGGTCCAACTCAGAGCCCCACGGACTGGCACTAGCACACGCATGTGCACAGGCATTCGGAAGGCAGAATACATCGGAGCTCCTGGGAACTCTGGGAAATGGAGTCCAGGCCGCAGCATCCCTAGAGACACCAGCTGGCCCTCCCCAAGGGCTGCAGTCTGGGGCGGGTGCCCACAACCAGAGGGCATTTGCTTTTGTTAAGTCCCTCCTTCCTTTCCTTCCCACCCCAAAATCTCAAGGATCAGTTGCTGTTCTTCCTTTCCTGAATCAAATCTTAAAGAGTGACACTGCTGCTAACTGACCCCAAATCCTGGCTCCCTCATAACCTCTGTCTCTTCCAGAAAAATCTTATTTACTACTTTGGCCCTAGAAATCATAAATGGCTATGATAGAATGTAACTTTTAACAGAGGTGTAGAAGGCACGGTTTAATATCCAGTTTTGAGAATACAATTTTCATTTGTGATTTATTGATGTTTATAGTTCTTTTAAGATTTATTTATTTATTTAGAAGTCAGAGTTACAGAGAAGGAGATGCAGAGAGAGAGAGAGAGAGAGGTTTTCCATCCGCTGGTTCACTCCCCAGTTGGCAGCAGCGCCACAGCGCCGACCCCTTATAGTTCTTTTCAAATCATTTTACACTGTCTTTTTATTCATCTAGTACAGAGACAGAAGAATGGACACAGAGCTTACATAGCTGAGTATTCAAGGAGACAGGTTAAGGGGTTAAATGCCTTATAGCATATCATTTATACCTTAGATTAATTCTGGGGCCAGTATTATCTGGAGTTTACAAAGTAGAAACTGAATGGAAAGAGCTTAGAAAAACATGGTGTTTTTTAATATCATTAACAAGTCTAAGTTAAAGGCCAATCAAGGGGCCAGCACTGTGGCATAGCAGGTAAAGCTACTGCCAGCATTGACATTCCATATGGGTGGAGGTTGAGTCCCGGCTACTCTGCTTTCAATCCAACTCTCTGTTATGGCCAGGGAAAGCGGTGGAAGATGGCCCAAGTCCTTGGGCAGCTGCACCTGTGTGGGAGACCCAGAAGAAGCTCCTGGTTCCTGGCATCGGATCAGTACAGCTCCAGCCATTGTGACCAATTGGTGAGTGAACCAAAAGATGGAAGATCTCTCTCTCTCTCTCCCCTTCTACTCTGTGTAACTCTGACTTTCAAATAAATAAATAAATCTTTTTTAGAGAGCTAATCAACATATAATACTAGCTTAAAAATCTTTCTTTTGTCTTGGGTCTCAGTTTTTAAAATCTGATTTCTCAAAGGGAAAAATGTGAGAGAGATGAAGAGTACCTAAAAAATAATTTACTGTAATTATTTACTGTAATAATTTACTGTAATGATTTACTATAATTTACTGTAATAATTTACCATAAAGAACCACATAGGATTATAACTTGTCTAGAAAACAAAGGAGATTCAAAGTTGCTATTATTTCATGGTTATTTTTCTTACTTTTAATATCAAGGTAGTATATAAATATTACGCACTCCTAGGTATTTTGTTGTTTGATATGTTTTATTTTTAAGCAGAAATTTAAAGAGATAACTGGGTAACATGGAGTTCCGTGTTTCTGATTACTTCTCTCAATTAGAGATCATGGGATTAGAGTTGGTGCTAGATTAAGAATACTTAAATCTTTATCCACTGACTTCACACCAGCATTCACTATGTTAAACAATATTCTTTGGGTAGATTGCTCTTTCTTGCCAGACTGTAAACTTCATGGGGTCTAGAAACATATTTGCTTTGACACTAAAACTCAGCATCTTGACAGTCATTTAGTTGAATAAATAAATGATATACAAAATAAATATTTCTGCCTCTCAATAACTGCCTAATAGAGAAGGAAATAGAAATCAATTTGATGACTCTCAGTATTAGGTGAATATATAATTTGTTGTTCTGACATAAGCTTGGTCATGAAAAGGGCATATTAATAATTACACAGAGTTGAAGTGTATGAACACCTAGGGCCAAGCGCGTTAACTGTTCACCCTAGCTATGTAAGGCATTCCATGTCAATAGGAGAGGGAAGGGAGTGTAGGTGGGAAGGTGGTTACGGTGGGAAGAATCACCATGCTCGTTAATTAGCAGCAAAGAGAGAATCTGTGATCATTTGTTGCTTAAGAAAGGGTGATAGGCATTATTTAATTATAATGCAGGCATCAGTGTTTTCCTGTCTCTGAAATAGGAAGTCTATAACTCAGAATTCCTTGCTCTATCATCAAAACAATTCAAAACAAAAACCTAATTAAGCATAAGAGGAAGTTATGCATTAGAAGTCTATTCTAATCTCTAAGAGGTTCAGGAGTTGGAAAATTCATCCAAAATCTTGCTGCAAAATGTCCCATACATTTTCCATGACCACTACCCGTAAGCATAAGCTCTTTTAAAGAAAAGATTTATTTATTTGAAAGTCAGAGTTACACAGAGAGAGCAGAGGCAGAGAGAGAGAGAGAGAGAGAGAGAGAGAGAGAGAGAATCTTCCATCTGCTGGTTTACTCCCAATTGGATGCAATGGCCAGAGCTGAGCTGATCCAAAGCCAGGAGCTAGGAGCTTCTTCCAGGTCTCCCATGTGGGTTCAGGGGTCCAAGGACGTGGGCCATCTTCTACTGCTTTCTCAGGCCATAGCACAGCTGGATTGGAAGTGGAGCAGCCAGGACTCGAACCGGTGACCATATGGGATGCTGGCACTGCAGGTGGCAGCCTTACCTGCTACGCCAGAGCACCAGCCCCCATAAGCCCTATCTTCTGTAGAACCAGCACCCCAGACACCAGCCACCACATGGCATCCCATGGCACACTCACCCCTGGCAGTGTTCTGCAGCTCCTGCTCCTCTCCACTTTCACTGGAAGAATCTGCAACTCCTTTTTTTCATGCAAGTAATTCTGATTCAGATGATGTCCCTGACACAATTGGCTGGCAAGTGCCATGGCATGTGTCCATGACCTAGCTAAATGCAAAGCTGGAACATTTTAAACTTTTCACTGCCATGGTGAGACATGGACTCCATCTAATGAAGTAGGGGATTTTTCAGGGAGTCTAGAGAATCAAATATGACAAAATGACAAATCTTAACCAAAGAGTGCCATGGTAGAGATGAAGAGAACCCAAAATGTATTTTTCTATCTTTTCTGAGTTAAGTGACTAAAAACAAAGCCAATGAGGGTTAAACAGACCCATTCTGAAAATTCCTTAACATCTTCATTTCCATCCAAATTAATAGATTACTTGAAGAAAATAAATTTTACATAAATGAAAATGCAGTACCACAGACAAGCGTACAGTACATAGGCCCTCAGTTAGCTTCAAGCCATCTGGGTCCATTAATGTGTTCTTCCAGAACCAAAGCTGCAGTACAATAGAACCACAGCCTCTGACATTCCTCCTCCACCCTGATGGATTTTGGGTTTTCCTCCCACCTCCCCTCTCCTGTGAATACATCAGTAGCAGGACAAATGGAATCCAAAGATACGATGATGTTATTTAACGTGGAATAAACATAGTGTTTTAGTCAGTACAATCCTCAATACTACAATAATAATTCCGAGTTCACTGATTATGAAAGTATATGAAATCTATTCCTAAGTAATCATAACATCGAGAGCTGAATGTAGACTTTCAGAGTGAAAGAAACAGAGAATTGTGTAGAGATGTGTATCTCTATAATACAGATTTACCGCTGTACTTTATAGACAGTACACCATGTTTGTATTTTCTTTTCTTTTTTTGCATTCTGGCATAGTTTATTACATCCAGCTTGTCACTTTGGAAATTTTATGATTCGACACTAATATACAACAAATTTTGCATCCTTACAGATAATATAGAGCACCCTAGGCCCTCCCAAGGGCAGGAAACAGACCAAGAGCTCATAGACTGGCTGCAACTGCAAGAAGCAGATGAAGATATCATCAGAAAGATACATATTCCTGAAGTGTGGCTGCTGAGCAGTTCTGCCCTTATGGATCTCACCTCTGTTTCAGATCATTAAAGAAAGTTACATGCTTTTTGACATTTCTAAAGATTTCACTAATGAGAATCTAAGATATCTTCACTACGCTAAGAGCCTCAGAACAGCCCAAAGACTTGGGCCATTTTCTACTGCTTTCCCAGGCCATAGCAGAGAGCTGGATCAGAAGAGGAGCAGCCGGGACTAGGACCGGAGCCCATATGGGATGCTGGCACTTCAGGCCAGTGCTTTAACCTGCTGTGCCACAGCACTGGCCACAATGTAGTATTTCTAATAGAAGAGTTGGTTAAGTCATTAACTCCTCTAAAATACAAGTTAAGTGTTAGTTTTTAAACTTTGATTCATTCATGAGAAAAATAAAAGGTTAATTTTCTCTCTTTGCTTCTGGGTATGTAAATTTTATTCTAAGAAATTAATCATGACTTTTACATCTCAGACCCTATTATGAGTAAGTAGAGAATATTCTATCAAAGGAACATTTCTCCAATTAAAGAAAACACTATGGGCATCCCATATGGGCACTGGTTTAGTCCTTGCTGCTCCACTTCTGATCCAGCTCCTTGCTATGGTCTGGGAAAGCAGTAGAAAATGGCCCAAGTGCTTGGGCCCATGCACATGCATGGGAGACCTTGAAGCTCCTGGCTCCTAGCTTTGGATGAGCCCAGCTCCAGACATTGCAGCCAACTGGAAAGTGAACCAGCAAATGGAAGACTTCTCTCTCTCTCTATGTAACTCTGCCTTTCAAATAAATAAATAAATCTTTGAAAAAAAAAAAGATGTCCAAGTCTTACATCAGAGTACTGGGGTTCAGTGCCTAGCTCTGGTTTCTAACTCCAGCTTCCTGCAAATACCGATCCTATAAGGCAGCACTGATGGCTCAAGTATTCAGGTTTCTGCCCACACATGGGAGATTAAGATTGAGTTCATGGGCTGGCGCCATGGCTCACTTGGTTAATCCTCTGCCTGTAGCACTGGCATCCCATTTGGGTGCCGGGTTCTAGTCCTGGTTATTCTTCTTCCAGTCCAGCTCTCTGCTGTGGCCCGGGAGGGCAGTGGAGGATGGCCCAAGTGCTTGGGCTCCTGCACCTTCATGGGAGACCAGGAAGAAGCACCTGGCTCCTGGCTTTGAATTGGCATAGTGCCAGCTGTAGTGGCCATTTGGGGAATGAGCCAGCAGACGGAGACCTTTCTTTCTGTTTCTCTCACTATCTTTATCTCTACCTGTCAAATAAATAAAAAAAATTGAGTTCACACTCCTGGCTTCAGACTGACCCAGTTCTGGCTGTTGCAGGCATTTTGGGGAGTAAAGCAGAGAATCAGAGTGCATTTTCATTCTCTCTCCCTCTGCCTCCCAATTAAGTAAAAAAAAAAAAAATTAAAGAAACTCAAACTGGACTAAAGGTAATAATATAGGTAAGTGTCCCACTTCTTTCATATGACTAACCACTAGGTACTAAAAGTTTTCATTTTTTCCACTCACCACATCCTTTTCCCATGACATTTAATTTCCTAGGTTTTAAATTTTCTTTTCCCTAGGTAAAATGTGACCACTTGGTGCCAATGCTGTAGCATGAGGTAAGACACTGCCTGCAATGCCGGTATTCCATATGGGTGCTAGCTGAGTCCCTGCAGCTCCCCTTCCAATCTGGCTTCCTGCTAATGGTCCCAGAAAAGCAACAGAAGATAACTGGGGCCTTGCCACCCACATGGGACACCCAGATGAAGTTCCTGTCTTCAGTCTGGCCCAGCCCAGGCCACTGCAGCCACCTGAGGAGTAAACCAGCAGATAGATAATCTCTCTTCCACTCTGCTACATTTTCAAATACATGCATGAATCTTCCTTCCAACGGCAAAGGAAGACCTTTCTCTCTGTCTCTCTCGCTCACTGTCCACTCTGCCTGTCCAAAAAAAAAAAAAAAAAGGAAAAAATAAAAATAAAAACCACTTAAGCTTTCAAAGGTATACAATAAAGAAGCTTACAGCACTGATAAATTCAGGACCTAAAACATCTTAATGATTGAAAAAAGCAAAGCAAAGAGCAATATACAGAAAAGCATATATTTTGGTCCCTAAATTTCTAAACCATGAACATGATTATTACATAAATATATTTATATATTTTTAAGATTTGTTTTATTTACTTGAGAAAGGTATTCCATCTGCTGGTTCATTCCCCAAATTACTGAAAACCTGGGGATGGGCCAGGGCAAAGCCAGGAGTAGGGGCCAGTGCTATGGCACAGCAGATTAACACCCTGGCCTGTAGCACTGGCATCCCATAAGGGCACTGGTTCAAGACCCAGCTGCTCCACTTCTGATTGAGCTTTCAGCTTATGGCCTGGGAAAGCAGTAGGAGATGGCCCAAGTCCTTGGGCCCCTGCAACTAAGTGGGAGACATGGAAGAAGCTCCTGGTTCCTGGCTTCAGATCAGTGCAGCTCCAGCCATTGCAACCATTTGGGGAGTAAACCATCAGATGGAAGACCTCTCTCTCTCTCTCTCTCTCTCTCTCTCTGTGTGTGTGTGTGTGTGTGTGTGTCTGTGTGTATAACTCAAATTAACAAATCTTTAAAAAAAATCCAGGAGTCAGGGAAATTTCATCCAGGTCTCTCACTTGGGTGCAGGACCCAAGGATTTGTACCATATTCTGCTGCTTTCCCAGGTATGTTAGTAGGGAGCTGGATCAGTAGTAGAACATGCAATTGGTGCCCATAGAGGATGCTAGTGCTGCAGGTGCTGGTATAACCCATTTTGCCACAGTGCTGGCCCTGTAACAATGTTTAATTCCTAGTAATTAACAGGGAAGAAAGAAGTATGGCAGGATACCTTTTTTTAAAAAAATTATTTTATGTATTTGAAAAAGTTATATAGAGAGGTAGAGAGTGAGGTAGAGAGAAAGAGAGAGAGAGAGAGACAGACAGAGAGAGAGAGAGAGAGAGAGAGAGAATCTTCTGTCTGCTGGTTCACTCCCCAAATGGCTACAATGGACAGAGCTGAGCTGATCTTAATCCAGGAGCCAGGAGCTTGGGCGAAAAGGCCCAAGGACTTGGGCCATCCTCTACTGCTTTCCCAGGTGCATTAGCAGGAGGCTGGACTGGAAGTGGAGCATCTGGGACTCTACCAGCACTCATATGGGATGCCTGTATTTCAGGCCAGGGCTTTAACCTGATGTGCCACAGTGCTGGCTCCAACAGGTGACCTTTTACTCTCAATAATCTCTTCTTGGTATTGGCAGCAGTTTATAATTTTTTTGTTTATTTGCCTTCTTCTTAATCTATATTTGTAAAAACTTACAACAAGTTCCAGCACCCTGAGAACCTCCATCACAAGGGCATACAATCAGATGTTTGTCCAGAAAAGGGTGGTGTAGATGCAACGTGGAAAATGCAAGGTGAGTTGATTCATCCTTCTCAGGCTGTGGTTTCCATGGGCAACTTTTACAACCAACTGCCTTATTTGTTCCTCTTCCACAGAGTAGAAAACATGTTAAGTCATCCTATTTAGCCAAAAGCCAGTGGCAGCACTTAAATATGTCATCAATCCAGGGCCAGCATTGTGGCACAAAGGGGTAAGTTGCCAACTGCAACAGCAGCATGCCTTATGGCACTGCTTTGAGACTCACCTCCTTCACTTCTCATCCAGCTCTTTGCTTGGGAAAGCAGCAAAGATTGCCCAAGAGTTTGGGTTCCTGCACCCACATGGGGGACTGGGACAGAGTTCCAGGGTCCTGGTTTCGGCCTGGCTCAGCCCCAGCTATTGTGGCCATCTGGAAGTGAGCCAGCAGATGAAAGACAGAGATCTCTCTCTCTCTCTCTCTTCCTTTTACCTAAACATACATTACATAAATAAATGAAAATGCATCCATATAGCAACTTTTTGAGGAAAAGTCTTCTGATTATTGCAGGTATTGTCTCAATGCATAAAAATATTCAGATACAAAAATTCTAAACTGATTTATATTTATATTTGGCAACCACATACTTTTCAGAAAAAATTGTCTGCCATTCAGTATCAGGTATCAGTCTGAAAGCATTCATTAAAAAAATCAAGTAATTTTACTAAACACAAAAACCTCTAGTATAGGCTGCATATAAACCAGTTGCTTCCATGGGTATACACAGATTGATTTTTTTTTTTTGACAGGCAGAGTGGACAGTGAGAGAGAGAGACAGAGAGGAAGGTCTTCCTTTGCCGTTGGTTCACCCTCCAATGGCTGCTGCGGCCAGCGAGCTGCGGCCGGCGCACCGCGCTGATCCGATGGCAGGAGCCAGGAGCCAGGTGTTTTTTTTCCTGGTCTCCCATGGGGTGCAGGGCCCAAGCACTTGGGCCATCTTCTACTGCACTCCCGGGCCACAGCAGAGAGCTGGCCTGGAAGAGGGGCAACCAGGACAGAATCCGGCGCCCCGACCGGGACTAGAACCCGGTGTGCCGGCGCCGCTAGGTGGAGGATTAGCCTAGTGAACCGCGGCGCCGGCCACAGATTGATTTTTGTTAATTTACAGGGATCACTGCACTTCCCTGGCATGGAGCTGTCTGAAGAGTTTAAACACTGATGGGTGTGGAATTATTTCTGATATTTGCTTATTATCCAGAGTGCATTCATTAAATATCTATCATGAACTTCACACTCTATAAATCTGTTTCAAATATGTTGGTATTTAATGGTACTTACACACTTCCAAACTGAGCTAATCCTCCTAACTTCTCTCTGGAATAGCCATGCCTTTGACATTGCCTTTTTTGCACACATATGGAAATGCATAATATGCTTCTGTATGGTACTTCAGAGTTTATAAAAGGCTTTTCAGGTAAGATTTACATAACATCATGTGAAAGTGGCCAAAGGACACAGTCTTCTCATTACTGAGGGGAGAGGCATGAAGTGACTCTCTGAACAGTTACTCAGATTCTATCAGTCAGGTTCAGAATCTTATTAGGTATCAGATACACATCTAGATTTTTTTCCCTACTGTCTCTTTGTCAGAATTCCCAGCCTATGAGTGAACTTCAGTCTGAATGAATGCTAATATTCAAGGTTCTAAGTGAAAAAATTACTGAGGTTTGTATTGGTGAGTAAAGCATGTGTCTAAATGTTACTTGTATTTCATAATAAGTATTGAATCATATGAAACTGAATATAAGATTATGCAAATTTTTAAGATGAAGAGCATATATTTAAAACCACATTCTTACATTTTGCAAACGTGTTGAAACACCTTACTGGAGCATGTGTTTGGCATAGTGGGAAAGCCTTCCACATCCCAGTCAGAATGCCCGGGGCTCAAGCCCTAGCCCTGCTTCTGCTTCTGGCTTCCTGCTAACAGAACCCTGGGAGGCAGCAGCTGATGGCTCAAGTACTTGAGTCCCTGCCACCTATGTGGGAGACCCACACTGAGTTCCTGGCTTCAGCCTGACCCAGCTCTGGTTGGTGCAGACATTTGAGGAATGAGCAGTAAATGCAAGGGCTCTCTCTGCTTGCAAATAAACAAAAATAAATATACAGACCTTTTCTTAAGGTGTCTTGCTCACATCTAAATGATTTCCCTTTTCACAGTAAAATACCTAACTGTCCTCTTTAGTAGCAATGCATGTTTTGCTCTCCATGTCCACTCCTAAGCTCCAAGTACTGGCAGCTCACCTTAGCATGGTGACTGGTTCCAATGTTCAAGTACTCATCTCCCATTCTCTTTTGGTGGGTCTACCAGAAAGAAAGGAGAGTGTCTACAGTGATTAATATCTTACTGTTGCTCTTGCTGTCCACCTGCAGGCCTGAAGGATGACCAACTGAATACACACTGTGAAGTTCTGGACGTAGTTTCCAAAATTCAGTCACTTTGCAGCTGAGGGACTCTGTCCTGTCAATCACCTGAAAGCCTGCAGGAGTAGGGAGAAGCTGTGTTTGAAGAATTCACAAATAAAGTGCATTGAAGCCAACCACTACCATCCCCACCACACCCCTAATTCAGGGTTCTGGCAAACCCCAAACCAGGAGTTTGGGACCAGGAGTGGTTCAGGAGGTGACCTCGACTCCTTACTCTGAACAGCTCCAAAGTGCCTGGTGCACCCAACAGGAGCTCAGCACCTCGACCTCCTGCCCTCCTGCCCTCCTGCCCTCGCCACCAGGACGTCTGGCTCCCAGAGCCTCCAGGAGGCCCGCAGCAGCCCTGCAGGTCCAGGCACACTGGGATGTGCATCCAGAGCTAACCCAAAATACAGGCCCAGCTCAAGTGTCACCTCCCCACAAAGTCACTGTTTCCTACTCCCTCCCGGAAGGCTGCAGGCCAGCACCCGGCACCGGGAGTCGTGGCATTTGGGGTTCACCCGCTCTCCCACAAAGGAAGATGCCCCCATGGGAACCCCACTCCACCTGCGGGCAGGGCTGGGGGAAGAAGGGCCGAGCCAGCCTCCACCCTAGGACTGCAGCCTGGGAAAGTCCAGGGCCCCAGTGCCCTTGCTGGGCATGGGGTCTCCCTAAGTGTGCTCTGAGTCAGGGCCTCAGCCATCCGCAGCTCCCTTGCTTCCAGAATCTGCTGCAGGGCAGCTCAGTCTCGACCTGGCGGGGGGCCTTGGGCCAATCTTCGCTGCCCTGGGGCAGGACCAGGGCTGCCAGATGTGCCCCATGCTGGGCTGGCTATAAAGGTGGTGGTCATTGGTGGGCAGCTGGTAGTTGCAGTGTGTGCGGGTGACATGGGTGGTGTTAGGTTCTTGTCCATTTTGTACCTTGGGGCTAGAATGCAGGTGGTGACCCGAGAGTCAGGAGGGGCAGGAGAAGAAGAGACAGACCTGGTGAGTGTGACCACCCACCTCTCCCGCCAGCCCTGCTGGCTGAGGCTTGCAGAACGTGCTGCACTTGGGGAAGCAATGAAGGCCGAGTCTTAGCAGGAAAACCAAGTGTGCGGTGCTGATTTGCTCACTGACGCAGCATCTGTGTAGTCTGCATGGGCAAACAGGGGGAAGGGCTTGGTAGGAGGGCTCTGGAGGTGCACTGGGCCCTTGTGCAGCTGCCTGCTGTAGGCATCCAGGGCAGTAGAGTCCTGTGGGGTCCCTAGAGATCCTGGCCATGCTGTGCTTCCATCATCCACACTCCTGCACTGCTGCTGGGGGCAGTGCTTCTGCCGTTGATATCTCATTCGAGTCCATGGTCATTTTCTCATGATGGGCTGATCTCACACAGTGGCAATCATGGAACAAATCACTGTTCTGCGGCATCTGCCTCCCAGGAGTGTTGCAGGTGGACAGGGGGACACGGGTGATTGATGGCACCTCCTGTGCGTGGTCTCTGGCCCATTCAGGACCGAAGGTGGAAAGGGAAGCAGAGGAGCTGGCTCAAGGCAGTCCCACTGCGGGTTCCATCAGGAGCAAAATGTCTCCCAATTGTGGTAAACCTTACAGGGAAACTGTCTCCTTTTGTGGGCCAGAGACAGCATCTGCTTTATTAGCTGTGCAGTGTATTGATAATTAAAATTTGGGCAGTCCTATCTTTAGTCCTCACAGAGTAGTTACATTCTGAGGAACTGATGAAACTGCTCAGTACTTCGGGACTGAGTGTAATATTAGGTGGGTAAGCCTGTTGTTGGCTTTTGGTTTATAGCTATTAGGTGACTTTATTTGGTAAAAATGCATTCAGGCTCAGTAGTGTATTCAAGGATGAGCACTTAGTGAATTGTCTTTTTTTTTTAAGATTAAGAGTATTGAAGACTGGGTTGAGCTACCTATGGCAAAACTCCACCATTCCTGGGAAGGCCACAATTGGCAAGAAAAGCAGGTAGCAAGCTTTCATCAAGTAAGTTGAGATTCCTGTGTTTGCAATCTGAACAGCTCACTACTGAGCTGGGAGGGCAACTGCTCTGAGCACAACTCATTAGAGAACTGCTCTTGCAGACCTTCCCTGAAGGAAGCACTGTTGTGGTCAGAAGCATTCCAGGAGCTGCTGGCCAGCAAATGTGAATTAGACTTGAATTTAATCCATTGCAAGTATCACAAGAGTGCAGAAAGGCTGTGTCCTCAAATGAGCAGCTCACCAAGGAGAATTCGACTTAACCTAGAAGTTCTGTTTATCTCCATTTATTTCTCAGCATATTCACACCATGTGGGGAAGATAAATCACCCTTCAGCTCTGCAATGGCAGTGCTCTTGGTTGAGGCTGAGGATGCCTTTCATTGCATGCAGTGTTTGCAAGAGACTTAGTTCCCTGAGGATTTATGCCTCTCCTGTAAATACATTTTTGGCATTAAAACAAACTGAAGTATTTATGTTTTAGTAGTATGGAACCAACTTAAGTATTTTGCCTACTGGCACCTTTGTCTTTAAAGAGCTAAATCCACAGGATTACAGGATTGAGTAAAAACTAGAGAATAGCTAATCCTAGTACTAGAAAAGCACAGGGATTATTTGATCATTAGCTTCCTCATATTCCTCATGTTTCTTTTTCTTTTTCTACCTTCTCTTCCCTACCTACAGATGGTCTGGCTGTATTGGAGGCTTTTCTAAAAACTGAATTCTGTGAAGAAAATATAGGCTACTGGCTGGCTTGTGAAAACTTCCAAAAAAATCCACCCACCCCAGAAGCTATCCTTATATCCAAGATAAATATATGCACTCTTCTTAGAAAAAGGCCCCAAAGAGGTAAGACACAATTCCTCATTTCAGCATAAAGTGTACACTCTTGACATCAAGAAGCAACAGAAGAAGCAAAGACATAAGACTAAAGCAAGGGCCAGGCATCTGAAAAGCTTCCTCTCCTGGTGTCCTGGCTTTCAAATAAGTATCCCCCTACCTGGCAGGTGAAGCTCATCACACATTACAGCTTCTGATTTTCACTTTCAAAGAGCAGAGCCCCCTTCTCTAACAAAGGATAATGAGTGATCTTTGTTTCAGATGAACATGCTTTCAAACCAAAACTCTTATTATCCAAAATATACAAGAAGCTACAACTCCCAGCTTTACAGCTGCCTGGAAAAGGGTGTATTGCTTGATGGAGAATAACTTTTTGAAGTTGTATTTATTTGCAAGGCAGAGTTACAGAGAGAAAAAAAGAGGGAAAGACAGAGGTTCACTCCCTTCCTCCAGGTCTCCCATGTGGGGGCAGAGGACCAAGCGCTTGGGCCATTCTCTGCTGCTTTACCCAGCAAAGAGCTGGGGAAGAAGTAGAGCAGCTGGGAGTCAAACTGGCATCCATGTGGGATGCTAGTGCTGCAGGCAGCAGTGTAACTTGCTATGCCACAGCACCAGCCCCCAGAAAGAACTCTTATCCCTGGTCTTTCTTTTGAGTCAGAATGCTAGCAGGACTTGTGTTGAAAACCACAGATCACTACAGAACCCCATGAGAAGAAAAAGGAGCCCCAGAGTAGAGTACATGTTCTGTTTCCTAAGGCAGAAGATTTTGACTGCCAGAGACTGACATTAAATTCAGCCTGGGTGTTTGAAAAACATCCCTCACAACTGTTGATTCCAGTTCAGGTAGTAAATCAGGAAGCTGGTGACTGTCCAGGAGATACCTGTATCAGAACAGCTTCCACCACCGTGAAGACACAGGCAGGAAATACATGGTCTGAGTGGGGTGGGTCTCGCTGGAAAAGCAGGACTCTGAGATGGAAGATAATGCAATGGAATGCTGTTGATCTAGACTCACTTAAAATCAATAGGTCTGGGATTCTGTGGCCTTAGCTACCTAGCTCTACATCTTTCCTTAAATCCATCCATGTCACCACATGGTTTTAGTTCTAGGTTTTAAGTCCAAACTAATGTAACTTGTTTATTATGTAGAATCATCCATTCTATTGTTGTGTATTGCTGAACTGGAAGTGATGTTTGAATTGTTAAATGGTATTTAAAATAGTGAGTGCTCGTGTGTAGAAAACCACAGTGGCTGTTCCAAGTGCCAAAAACTCTTGAAGGCAGCTAAGCTTTGAAGTGGTCTTTGCATATTTGAATACATTTATTTTGATAAATAATGTCATTGAATACTCAGAGTCCAGGTGTGAGTTGATTTGATTTTGGTAACTGGAAATATGACCAACATAAGATCTTTGTAGTAGAGAAGAAGCATGCATTACTGAATCTGTGCAGGGAGAACTGACAGCCCCCAGAGCTGAGATGAGCGTGGCAAGGAAGATGCTCTTTTCTAAACCTAAGTCACAGCACATCTTTAGAATGACCCAGGGTTAAAATTACTAACAGAATCTTTTATTAAACATCAAGGTCTTTGATGAGAATAGAACATTGACCTAAATCCCTTCTTGAGGATTAAGAACCAGCTAAATAGCAGGCTGCGGTGGTGACGTCGAAGGGGTTGGGGCCCAGGGTCGGGGGTCACAGGTCCCAATGGCTGGCCCAGAATGGTCGCGGGCTCCCCGGGTCATGGTCCGGCACTGCAGCACGGGGCTCCAGAGGTCAGGGGAAGCCTGCTGGGCCACTACCTGCTTCCTTCCTTGGGCAGAGGTCAGGGATCACAAAGTGACCTAAAGTGACCAGTTCAGGGCAGAAATCCCTGAGGAACCACTGGGTCCTGGGCCTGGCCCATGGGTGGGGCAGAAGCAGAGGGGAGATGCACAGGACCTGCGGGCCAAGGCTGCAGGTGTTCCCGTTGGCCCCCGGGCACCCACGGGGCCTCAGCCCCTCTCACAATGGAACCTGCATGTGTACCTCACACCATTTTTACCCCTAATTCCACTTTAAAGAAAGGTTTATCAAGGTCAGTGCCGTGGCATGGGGGTGCAACCACAGCCTGCAGGGCCCACATCATGGGTGCCAGTTCGAGTCCCTGCCACCCCACTTCCTGTCCCACTCCAGCCAATGAGTGCAGCAGTGATGGACAGGCGCTTGGACCCCACACCACGCAGGAGACCTGGGCGGGGGCGCTTGGGTCTTCAGCCTCGCCCAAACATTGGGGGATCAAACCAGCAGATGGAAGACCCCTGTCTCTATGCCTTTCAAATAAATCTCTTAAAATAAATAAAAAAGAAATGCAAAAAAAAAGAACCAGCTAAATAGAAGTGAACTGTATGGAGACAAACACCAATGTTACAGTACTCAACTCTCCACTGCTCCAATGAACAAAGAAGACAAATAAGAGGGATATAGGCCTCCCCTTTTTTGTTATCCTTTCCTTGGTTCCAACTAGCATGAGCTTCCAGAAAATGTACAGGGAATCCATTCTCTTCTGTGGTCAATACATGATCTCAGAATTTCCCTTATTCATTTGCCTAACAGATTTTGATTATGTTACTCTAGGTAAAGGGAAGGCAACAGAACTGCCCTTTTCCCCAATTTTAAAATCTGTTATTTATTTGAAAGGCAGAGTTACAGAGAAAGGGTAGGGACAGATCTTCCATCTGCTGGTTCACTTCCCAAATTGGCCTCAGCTGAGCCAAGCTAAAGCCAGGCACTTCTTCCAGGCCTCCCATATGAATGTAGTGGTTCAAGCACTTGGGCCACCTTCTGACGCTTTGCCTGGCACATTAGCAGGGAGATAGATTGGAAGTGGAGCAGCTGGGACTTGAATCAGCACCCATATGGGATGCTGGCACAGCAGGCCATGGCTTTACCCACTGTGTTGGTACCATGTGTGTGTGTGTGTGTGTGTGTGTGTGTGTATGTATGTATTTTTATTTCAAAGACCCATTTATTTATTTGAAAGGCAAGGTTAGATAGGGAGAGACATAAAAAGAGAGATCTTTCAACCTCTGGTTTGTCACTCCCCCTCTTCGTGGAGGAACGACACTAAACCCTGCCTAGGCTTCATATCCGAGTCACGGCACCATTATGTCGCTCCCCGTCTTCGTGGAGGAACGACACAAGACCCTGCGCTGTTCTTTCGTCTGCTCGGCCCTCCCCGGGTTTGCTGCTGGTTCTTCCCGGGTTGGCTACCGACCCTTCCACCTCTGTGGAAGGGCAGTTCCCCCTGCCACATTCCCCACTTCCACGGGGGAGCGGCACACTGCTGGCCGGCTCTCTCGGGGGCTGCACAGGTGTTCCTCAGGTGTTCCCCTTAGATGTTCCTGGTGCATGTTGTCTCTCTCCTCCTTTATAGTCCTCTTCCACCAATCCCAACTCTGCTACCCACACGCCGAGTACGCTGCTCTCTTCCAATCAGGAGCAGGTCCTACAGTTTATTGTTTGAACTGGAGGCAGCTGAGTAGAAGCTGTTTCTCCCTTCTCAGCGTCATATTGTGGGAGAGCAGATGCATAGAATAAGTCTTAATTCCAGTAACTTAGTCTAGTCCGAGTTGCTCCCAGTTGCTCCCCACATGGTTCACTCCCCAAATGTCCACAACAGCAGAGGCTGGGCCAAGCCAAATCCTGGAGCCTGAACAGTGGATAATCTTTAGTTAATTTAAAATGAATTGGCTGTAGCTGGTGCTGTGGCATATAAGGTAAAGCCACCACCTGCAGTGCTGGCATACCTTATGGGCACTGGTTCATGTCCCAGCTGCTCTGCTTCTAATCTAGTTACCTGATAATGTGCCTGGGAAAGCAGCAGGAGATGGCCCAAATACTTGGGCCCCTGAATCCATGTGGGAGACCTGGAAGAAGCACCTGGCTTTGGATTAGCCCAGCTCCAGCTGCTTGCAGCCACTTGGGGAGTAAATCAGCAGACAGAACATCTCTGTCTATTTATGTGTCTCTCTCTATAATTCTGTCTTTCAAATAAATAAATAAATCTTTAAAAAAGGTTTATTAACGTATGCTATAATCCAATCCAGTAAAAGTAAGAGAAGCATTAAATATTGCTACCTATATTTTTATTTATTTTTTTTTAATTTTTAAAACTTTATTTAGTAAATATAATTTTCCAAAGTGCAGTTTATGGATTACAAAGGCTTCCCCCCCATAACTTTCCTCCCACCCACACCCCTCCCATCTCCCACTCCCTCTCCCATTCCATTCACATCAAGATTCATTTTCAATTATCTTTATACACAGAAGATCGATTTAGTATATATTAAGTAAAGATTTCATCAGTTTGCACCACAGAGAACATAAAGTGTAAAATACTGTGTGAGTACTAGTTATAGCATTACTTCACATTGGACAACACATTAAGGACAGAGATCCCACAAAAGGAGCAAGCACACAGTGATTCCTATTGTTGACTTAACAATTTGACACTCTTGTTTATGGCATCAGTAATCTCCTTAGGCTCTAGTCATGAGTTCCCAAGGCTATGGAAGCCTCTTGAGTTCACTGACTTCGATCTTATTTAGACAAGGTCATAGTCAAAGTGGAAGTCCGCTCCTCCCTTCAGAAAAAGGTACCTCCTTCTTTGATGGTCCATTCTTTCTACTGGGATCTCACTCACAGAGATCTTTTATTTACGTCCTTTTTTTTCTTTTTTGCCAGAGTGGCTTTCCATGCCTAAAATACTCTCATGGGCTCTTCAGCCAGATCCAAATGCCTTAAGGGCTGATTCTGAGGCCAGAGTGCTGTTTAGGACATCTGCCATTCTACAAGACTGCTGTGTATCCCACTTCCCATGCTACCTATATTTTATATAGTCTAAGTATTGTATAAACTAAAATATACAACACTAGGAGTATGCTATCAGTAATTACACTACCAATCTCAGTGATTATAAATAAGAATTTTAGTAACTATACTGATTCTGAACAATGATTCAATGATTCTGTTTTTAAATTTAAAATGCCCATGAACTTAAATGTTTCTGTGTAGCTCCTAATAGAACTACAAGCCTTAGAAGTTCTATGCTGTTTAACATTTCATCATCAGTGTCAACTCGATTATTACACTGCCAGTTTATAAAACACTTCACAGTCATGTGAACCTTACCATAAGATAGGACTGTGTAGAATAAATCCTTTAACTATAAAGACAATCTTATCTCACAAGGGAGGAAGATCCAGAGCGGTCGAATGAATTGCTAATGTCACTTAGCTCTGTCGGCACAGAAACAAGGAAAGCTCTCAGCTTCCTGCCACCTCCCCTTACACCACCTGCCTCAACTCGATGAGCCTGTAATTTTAAGGACACTCAGGCTCCATGAGTTTAAAGGAATTTTTCAAGGTTATATGACAAGTACCAAAGCCAGAAGTAAAAATTATTGCTTCCATCTTTCTCTTCCTTATCCACTATGGAAGTCTGATTTACAGTCATGCATTATTCAAATATCATTTACAACCAAGAAGCATTATTTTTCCCTCAAATTTAACAATGAAACTACTTTTTTCCAATGAGGAAGTTGTTTTAATGGATGATACAAACATACTTGTTTTGTTTTTTAATTTGAGATGCAAAGAAATGAACAAGTAGACAGAGAAGTGGTATTCACCCTCTAGTTCACTGCTGAAATGTCCACAGTGGCCAGGGCTTGCCCAGGAGCAGGGAACCCAATCATCTGAGCCATCACTTGCTAGCTCCCAGGGTCTGCATGATCAGGAAGTTGGAGGCAGGGGCTGGAACCGGGAATCAAACCCAGAAACTCCAATGTGGGACACAGGCATCTGAACCACAAGGCTACACCCTGGCTTCCAGACTTGTTTTGTTCACCAGTCCTCTGAAAATGAAAGTTAATTACAACCTGAAATCCAAGACTCTGGAGTCCTCAGGTGTGTGTGTCTATGCAAGTTTATGCATGAGAGTTAGGTTGCCCAAGAGTCTGCAGTTTAGAGAGAACAGAAGAGTGAAACATGTGTCAGAGGATGTCAGCATTGGAGAGGTGGCTGTGCTCTAGTCAGAGGCTGAAGAGGACAAGTCCACAGAGAGCAGCAGCACCAAGGGAGAAGGCTATACTAGCAAGTAAGGAGAAAAAATGTTGAAAAATAAATATTTTAAAAAGATCCAGGACCAGCGCTGTGGCACAGTGGGTTAAAGTTCCAGCTTGCAGTGCCAGCATCCCATATGGGCACTTCGCTCCTGGCTTTGGATCAGCCATTCTCACTGTCTAACTCTGCCTGTCAAAAAAAACAAACAGGCAGAGCCAAGATGGCGGAATAGTGTGGGCACACACTGATAGTCCGGGAAAAGACAGTTTAATAAAAGTGGAGTTACTGTAGCCACAGGAAAAGGCTCAGGGAAAAATTGCAGAGGAAACTCTCCCGGATCTAGTGGAGGTGACACGGAGGACCTACGAGGAGAGCAAGGTCACCCACCACATGGAAGCTGAGCCACGGGAGCTGCACCACCACAGAAGCAGAAGCTGAAACTGAGACCAAGAAGCCGCGCCGCTGCAGAAGCCACACCGCAGAGTCTGCACGCTAGTGCTGGAAGATGAGGTGAGATAAAAACCTCAGTAACCCAAGACATTTCGGGGAAAGGCAGAAAAAGCCTACAGGGAACGAAAGCCCCACTGGGGAAGGTCACCAGGCAGATTGGAGGAGAGAAAAAACAAGCAAATAAGGGGAACCGGCATGGACATTAACTTCTCTCTCCACTCATCTTACAAAGCTGAGCAAGACAAAGAGCTGGCACCATTTTACATATGGAAAGAGGTGCTGGCCCTTAGCCAAGCAGAAAAACCTGACTCTGGTGGGGAGAAATAACAGGAGGTTAAGACCTAGTTAGTGAAAGTGAGGAGCTAACGAACTAAGACTGAAAATCTGAGGGGAGGGCGAGAGAACTCACCAAGCACACAAACTCGGTAACTTGGGCAAACTGGGGAGAGACTAT